GCCTGTAAAAAAAAAAAAATTTTTACGCATCTCGTAGATTGCCGACCGGAAAACAACTATTGGTTTATCATGATGAGATGGCAGTAGAGACGTACAGGGTAGAGACAAGAGTTAGGAAATTTTTCCCAATTAGGTTACAAAAATAGCAGTCAGAGAATAGTTAACCATATAAGTGTCAAAATACCGCTAGTGTAGCATATTTTATATCGAACGGTCTATCAGCAATAGAGTCAATATAAAATTATAATTATATATATATATATGAAAGTAATTGTTCTAATTTGAATTCTTTTTTTTTTTGTACATTTACTTAATCAAATATAAATTTTTCAAAATTCAGTTTTGTCAACATGAGAAACAAAGATAAAGTACTGTTTAGATAACAATTTTAGTATCAGTCAAACATAAACAATAACAAGGGTAAATATCTGACACAAAAAAATAAATAAATAATACATCAACAATTATAATGATGGGCAATTTCGACGTGTATGACCTTAAGAAATTTTCTTATTTGATTAAAATTGAATTGTAAAATAAATTCTTACCTATCTGTTTACAAAGACCACATTTTCGCTGTTTTGTATCATCATCATTATCTGACTTTCGTCTTTGATGAGTTGCATTTAGTTGATTATCTCCAAATTGTCGTTGGCCACCTCCGGCAAAGTTTTGTGTTGTACTAAAATTAAAATTTTATTTAAAAAGAAAAAAAAAACAAAGCATAAAACATACTCTTCTTTCCAAGCAAAAAAATTACAATTATCATTATTTCCACATCGAAAAAACGATCGACCTTTATTTGGACCGTCTATAAAAAAAAAAAAAAATAATATTCTATATTAAAATATATTTCTTAATAAATAAATTACCTTTTTTTACTGTTAGTTCTTTAGCATCAACATTACAATTACATTTCGGTACACTATGATTATTTGTCGGACGAATTTGTTCTTGTTGTAAAGGTCTAAAATAATCTAATAATTAAATATTAAATTGAAATAAGTAATTCACCTTGAAGGACGATTTGGTTGTTGAGATCTAAATCAAAATAGAAATTAATACGAGAATAAGTATAAAAAATAAAAATAACCTAGCTGGCTGATTATTATTACGTGGAAATTGTGGAGGTCTGAAATAATATTTAAGATAAACAAATAGAACTATTGAAAAATCTTACCTATTAGTTGAATTTGGTCTTCCAGGTGGTGGTTGATTTCTATTGGTACGATCACCAAAAGGTCCTGGTGGTGGTGGTGGACGTGGTGGAGGTGGAGGTGGTGGATTTTGTCCTGGAGGACCAAAATATTTAGTCATGGAATCATCAAGTTTTTGAATTTGTGTCGCAGTAACAATAAATACTTGTCGATATTTATCAATTTGTTCTCGAAGTACATCTATTTAAACATAGAATACATATAAAAATAAATGCGAAAACCTCGGATTTAAATCCGAGTGTTATGTGTACTTCAAAAAGTGAAAAGGTATATTCACTGTGCTTTTTATCACTAAATTGCAAGGAGAAAATACAGGCGTGCTAAG